TCAGTGGGAATCAGTAGGAATCAGTGGGAATCAGTAGGAATCAGTGGGAATCAGTAGGAATCAGTGGGAATCAGTAGGAATCAGCTGGAAGGTCAGCAATGCTTTGTCTGAATAATGAAAACACACGTTGATATTTTGGCAAAGACGTTTCCACTTCAACGTTAAGAAATAAATAATGAACCCGTTGTGGCTTAAATGCTGAGTCAGCTTTTAAAGTTAACAAATCTCTCAACAAGCGGATGGAATAAACTAACTAAAAAACAAAGTGTCATCTAAATAAATATGAAGAAATGAAATAAGTTAAAGCACAGAAAGCAAACATGTTCTACCTGAGTGAAAGTTTGTAAATACTTCACAGTTTAACGTCGGCTCTGGGACGAGGATCAATCTCTTTGGGATGCTCTGGTTTTGGTGCTTCGCTCATTGGATCACAACGTTCCCACAATCAGGAACTACATTTGGCTAAACCCTTTATTTGGTGATAATTAACGTCTCTCCGCCTGGAGCTGGTCCTCACTGTCCCTCCGTTTTCACAGTGGGTCGCTGGTGGAGGTGGACCACCGAGGCCCGCTCCTGGAAGCCCAGCGGGGGGCTGTGGTGGGATGCAGGTACAGCAGATGGAGCCATAGGTGCATTGATGGCGGCGGTCAGGGCTTTCAGTAGCGCCGTAGCCTCTCTCTGGTCCTCCTTCTCCTCTCCTTCCAGCGTACGAGTCAGCCAACGCTCCACAGCCTCCCTCACCTGAGCGGCGGCGGCTGTTTCCATCAGCGCGTCCGCCTCCTGGCTGGCGTCGAAGCGCTCCACCATTTCCTTCATGTGCATGTTGACGGGAGCTGCGGCGGTGGCCGGGCAGCAGCTGCGCTGGTGGAGGAAGAGGCTGAAGCGGTGGAAGAAGGTGTGTGAGCAGAGCGTGCAGCGGTAGGGCCGCTCGCGGCTGCTGTGGAGGCGGCGGTGCAGCTTCAGGTGGATGTACTGGGTGAACTTCATGTGGCACAGTTTGCACTGGTACGGTTTTTCCCCTGAGTGAAGGCGCAGATGCGTCTTCAGGTTGCTGGTGCTGCTGAAGCGTTTGTGACACACCTGGAAAACATGGAAGAGGTCAGAGGTCATGGTCCACCTGTTCAGGACATTATTGGCCTTTTGATGTTTCTACGACAATCAGAACCTATTCCAGGTTTATTCCAACTATCACCTTTACCTGACATTCATGCGGTTTCTCTCCAGTGTGGACCAGGTGATGTTTCTGAAGGTGAGCCAGCTGAGTGAAGCTCTTCTTACATAAGTGACACTGGAACGGCCTCTCGCCGCTGTGCACCCGCAGATGGACCTACGGTGGTAGCAATACAGCCATGAGTTCAAGCGTTCGTAAGCAGGAGGTAAAATGGAGGAAGGAGTGTCACCTTGAGGTTGGAGAGCTGTCCGAAGGTTTTGGAGCAGATGTTGCATTCATACTTGATCTTTCCGTTCTGCTTCTTCAGCGGGTACGGCAGCGATTTGTGTCCAGGTCCGTTCCGAGGAGAGGAGCTGCTCTTCCCAACAGCCAGGCTAAGGTTCATGGCCTCCTCGCAGGTAGAGGGAGGCTGCTCAGGGGTGGGGGGGTGGCTGTCAAGCTTGGCAGGGGGAGACATCTCCGGGGTGGCAGGAGCACCTCTTGGTGGGGAAATATTTGGGGTTAATTCTTTGAGGCCCCCCTGGGAGGGCGGGGCGTAGGGGAGGGACACAGGGAGCAGGTTTGGAGGAGCAAAGGGAGGGTATGGGACTCCGTCTGCCCCCAGGTAGCTGCTGTACCGGAGGGATCCTCGTGAAGGGAGGACGCTGGGGAAGGGGGGGGAGTAAGGAGGCAGGAGGATCCGAGGATAGTGGGGGCCGTAGGGAGGAAGGAACTGGTAGGGTGGCTGAAGCTGTCTGGGGTTGGAGTAAATGGGGTAAGAGGAGACCAGGCCCTCCCTATGGCTATAGAGACCATGGAGGTGCAGGGGGAGGCCTCTGTGCGGGGGAGCCGGGGGGGAGGGGTGATGGTCTGTGAGGTACGGGTGGTTGAAGCATAGGGGGGCCTCCCTGCGCTCAGGCTGAGGGGAGGGGATGAGGCCTTCTGGATCTTCACTCTTCTCCATCTTTCTGCTGAAGTCCACGATCTGCTCGTCAGGCGTATCAGGAGGCGTGTCTCTCTCCAACATCTCCACGTCAATCTTCTCCTCACCCTCCTCTTCAAGCTGCTCCTTCACCTCCTCTTTGGTCCGGTCCTGGAGAAACGTCTGCTGAGGTAGAGGATGCCTGGTCTGCTCTTCATCACCATGTTCTGTAACAACAAGCGCACCTGTTGAGTTTAAAGAGGAAGACCAGTCATCCCTGTTTGCAGATACAGTAAGGCTGAGTCGCCCACACAGGAACGCCCTCTTATGGTAAATGATAGTAGTTTCAGTTTTGACTTGACGAAGCCATCATGAGTTTCTGTTGTTGGAGTGATTTTGTGAGGGAGGGGGAGTCGCTGTGGGGTGTGGGAGTCATGTCATCTATGAGCTGCAGCGCAGAAACACTCAGAGTTTCGTTTATGAAACCTTTTCTGGGTATGGCGTGTTACGATACTGACCACAAGAGAAAAAAACACGTCTCCTTTCCTCTTCTCATCTTTAGTTTAAATAAAAAATAAAAAATAAAAAGGGATTGATTTGGTTCTTAGAGGTCAGTGATCCTTAAAGGAGCAGAACATTGCTGCAGAGACTGGAAGCCATGATTTCCTCCTTAAACACGACCAACCGGATTCATTGAGTTAAAAAGCAGACGACCAAAACAAAGCAGGAACCGTTGACCTAAGATTGGAAGAATATCAGCATAGATCCACCTGCTGATACGCAGAAGCAGTTTGAATGGATGGACACAGGTTTCCTCCATCCGGAGCGCGAATTCACCTGGATAACTTCACCTGGATAACTTCACCTGGATACCTCCACCTGGATAACTGTAAACGGAGTGACTCAGTCCAGGACTTTGGACGGACGTCATTACCCTGACCCCCCCTGAATGTAACGATGCGTCATCTACACACAGCTGTCTGACAGCTG